GCCCCCTAAGCCGCCTGCTTTCCCCGCAGCCGGGATCCTTACAACACTCCTGGGCCTCCCCTCCCCCTTTATGGTTGTCAAATTGATTTCACCACCGAGATACCCGTGGCTCCCAATGAAACGTAATTAAAAACACCATTTAATCACCAAGTAACAAAGGCAGACTGGATAAACGGCATTACCACTTCAGCGCATTTTAATCCGCGTGGCTCCTCTCCTTCCCAATCTGTTTGGAGAATTGCCTTTTCAAATAAAAATCCTGTCTTCCATGCGCTTGCCTCTGACAGATCTCCAAAATAAACAGTATTTAGCGTGGCAGGGGTCCACATGTATGCAATTTGCCCAGTGGTAAAATCAGCCCTAACTAGAGCAGGGGGAAAAAAGTTGCATTCGAAAATACCGTCCCTCAAAACACACACAAAACCTTCTCCTGAATGTGGGGTGTCCATTATCTGGGGCCTGTGGAATCTCATTTCGAGCACCCCTCGATGCAGTTAATGATGGGTTTAGAGGCTTCTTACTAAAATTGTGTCACAAGCGACACTGTGACCCTGAGCTTTTCTGTCCAGTACCGTCCCCTGGGCAGGAGGCTGCGGGGAAACCGGGGTGGGTGTGGCAGGGCTTCAGGGCTGCAGAGGGAAGCCCACCTCCTTTACTTGGGGGGCTCCCAGGACACCGTCCCCTCTCAGGCCCTCACTCTGGGGTGAGGGACATTCCCAGCGAGAAAGCCGCGCCTTTGGACCGAGGCACCTGCCGTTAGAGACCCTTTGGGATCCAGCAAGTAGCCAGAGCCATCACCTGAAAGCCTAAGATTCCAGCTCGAGCCACCGCACCCCTCCCTGCAGGGAGCCCTTGGGTGTCTCGGGCACTGGAATCAAATCCAAACGCCGCCCGGCCTCCTCTCCGCCTGCCTCGCCCGCGGTCCTCCCGTTTGTCTGCTTCAGCCACGGCGCCCTTTTCCTGCCCAAGCCCACCCAGTTGCTTTCCCGCCTCGGGCCCTGCTGCCCGCTGCCGCGTCACCGCCTTTCCCTGACCTCCTAGCCCAAGCCACCCTTCCCCAGGCCCCAGCTACTCTGTCCCTTCACCCAGGGGGTTCCTCCCTGGCACCTACATCTTATTTACTTGCTGGTCTATTGTCTGTCTCCCCCTACAGGGTATGTTTCCATTCTGGTTGCTACACACCCGCCGCCCTGGCATGGGGGCTGGCACAGCGGAGTCCCTGGGAGGCAGGGACCTGTCCTTGGGTGCCCAGGGCCACAGCACGGCTGAGCTGCGGGGCGAGGGCTGTCTTCAGAGCACTTTCTCAAGGAAGCTGGGACCAGGGCGAGCCCGACAGGGAGCAGGCGAGGACTGGTGGTTCCAGGAGGTCCCGGGGACAAGGCTTCCTGATCCCCCACCCACACCCGTGTGCGTGTTCCCAAGAAAGTCCTCCAGTAGCTCACAGGGGAGAAAGGGCCTGCCCGTAGCCCCGCAGGGAACTGAGTTGATTGTCAGTGGCCCCAGCAGCCGCCTTGTAATCGCCTCTCCTTCCTCCCACGGAAACCCCTGGGGAGCACATGTATAGTCCTCAAACGCGCTGAGCCACCGTTTACTCAAAGCCACCGTTTCTTCTGGGGAAACGGGACCTCGCCTTTTGGCTTCGCTGCAGGTAGTGGTTTCTCCAACCCTGGCTGCCCATCGCCTGGCCCCGGCCCCATCGCAGAACTTCTCTTGGCCTCTCCTCTCATCCCCCAAACATTTTTATTGTTTATGAGTGTCTTCCGACGTACACAACATATTAACACAAACAGTCCACGGCAGTAGGGTGACAGTAACACACGGACATTGGGTGAGCACTGAACATTTATTTCTACTACAGGGGTGCGAGCAGGCAGGTCTGGGAGCGCTGACGTGAAGGGGGAGCGAGTCGGGGTGGGGGGCCTGGAGGGCTCCCACCCATCTGAGAGCAAGGAGACAATCAGCTCATGGCCACGCCCAGGGCTGCCAGATCTTCCAAACCCTCGAGACAGCACATGTTTTTATTTTACATGAAATCTCCCAATTTTTCAAATATTGGCCCTTGTGAAATATAACAAAGAACAACACAGGGGGGCTAAATGAAGCCTCAGGCAAGATGGCCCGAGGGTGCCCGGTCTATGACTTCTCTGTGCCAGGCACTCCTCACCCATGCACCTCCACTTAACCCACAAACCCTGCGAGAAAGGGCTTCCTCTCCTCTACTGACAAGGACATCGAGGCTCAAGGGCATCAGGGAACTCGCCCAAGGTCGGAGACACCCAGTCTCCTGGCTGCTGTGCCTACCGGGATCTTCCTGTGGTCGTGAGCCCCGTGAGCGATGCACACCTTGAGCCAGAGAGGCTCTCACGGCAGGAGAAGCTGGTCCTCAGGGAGCCTCTAACGGGCAGAAATGCTCTTCACCTTCCAACTACTGCAGAGTTACAGAGAAGGCCACGGGCTGGGAGAAGGGAGAACTTTCTCATGATTTCTAGGGGTCACCAAAGGGCAGGAGACATGGGCTGGCCTCACAAGACAAAACTGGTACAAGGACTGAGGAAGGGAGGGGAAAATGTCTCCATAGGGTCAGCTTACTGATAGGGAATCATTCTAATATTTTTATTGGATATTTAATTACATGTCAGAAATTGTTCAAATAAGTCTGTAGCTAAATAATTTCACTGAATCTTCACCTTGGGAGTTGGTGAAGTATCCCCACTACACAGATGAGGAAACTGAGGCACAGTGACGTGCCAAAGGTCACAAAGCTGGTGGGAGTTGTGACTGGGGCCCAGGTTTCACCCTCTGCTCTACGTCGCCTCTCTAATGCTCTGATGTCATCCACTTTACCTGTCATTACCTGCAAGCGAGGGAATGATAGGGAAAAACCCTGCTACCCCGGCTAAATCCATGAGGCAGTGTAAATGGGGCTGTGTCTCTTTCATTAGATCAGGACAACTTGCTAATGGGAGGGTGTCAACTTCATTTTAATTCCAACACCTCTCCATTCCTGTGTGCAGAGTACAGGACCGTACCTCGGGCTTTTCCTTAGGTCTTTCCAGAGGAGGGAGAGGGGCTACTCTCCAATGAGTTGTTTCTTTCATTTATTGCGCCCGAGAGGACGGCAGCTACAGAGAAGTGGAGACCACGCCCTGCTCCCAAGCTCTGTCTGGAGGGGTCGTCCACTAGGGCCTTCCCCGCCGACGAAGATGCTCTGTGGGCTGTCCAGGGCAGCGGTCGCAGCCACACGTGGCTACTCAGCACCTGAAGTGTGGCTCGTGCAACCAAGGAGCTGAAGTTTTCACTGCAATTAAAGTCAAATTAAAATTTAAGGAGCCACACACAGCTAGCGGCTGCCGTACTGGACACCACAGCCTCGAAGCAGTGCGGTGAGAAACTGGGACGGACATCCCTCAGTTCTGTGTCCCCCAGGTCGTTGTAGAGCCACCTGCCCTTGAGTCTCTGTAAAGGCTTAAGAAGGAAGTAGGTTCAGCTTTGTCACAGGCGGGGTTCGCCCTTGTCACCTCCCTTGGCCTTGGGAGCTGAATGGCTCACATTAAAAATGCAAGTGGGGAATATTGGGGGGGGAGGCTGTTTAACATCAGATCAGATGACCACACTGTGCTGTTTCCAACACTGTCACATCCACGGGCTCCGTTCCCTAGCTGTTCCTAACTGGGACCCGGGCCCTGCAGTCTCAAGGCCGCGTCTCCCCAGACTGCCCTTGCCGAAGCCCTCGACGGGGAGGGAGGAGAGAACCCCAAATCTCTCCCTCCTCCCCTGGGACGTGCGCTCCTTCTAGGGCTTTGCCTCCAGAAGCAGACCTCTGAGCTCCGCCACGACGTCTGAGAGGTCGAAGGGCAGCGGCATCGCGGGGTCGCCCTTCTCCCAGTACGGCCGGCACTCTGGCTTCTGGTCCTCGGGTAGAGTTCGAGCAACTCGGGACTGGCATCTGCAAGAGCAAGAACAGGCCATTCACCGACGGGAGGGGCTCCCGGGGGCCCGAACCCCACCGAACCCCAGGCCAACTGGCAGCCACGTGGCCAAACGCCCCAAAGACCACCCTTCGAGGTGGCGACGCCAACACGGAATGACGAGCGTGTAAGGCAGAAAGCAGGCGTTTACAACAAGGAAGACTGATTGTTCCTTTTTGTGTGTTTTCAATCTTCACCCGAGGATATTTTTTCCATTGCTTTTCAGAGACAGTGGAAGGGGGAGAGAGAGACATCGATTTGAGAGAGAGACGCATCGACTGGTTGCCTCCCGCAGGCACCCCAACTGGGCCCGGGGATCGAGATCCGCAGCCCAGGTACGTGCCCTTGGCTGGAATCAAACCCGGGACCCTTCTGTCCGTGGGCCGACGCTCTAACCACTGGGCCAAACTGGCCAGGGTAAGAATTGTTCTTTACGGTGCTGGGACTTTTTTTGTTTTTTTTTCCAATTCCCAGATTTGTGAATTTCTCCAGCGGCTCTGGAAAAGCCAATCGTCAGGGAAATTCCGTTACTCTGCCTTTCAAAATGGCGAATTACTTTTTCATTATCTCAACTGTTATTTAAAGGGTGTGATTAGGCCATTATCAGATTTAAGTGTTTGTGGGGTTTCAATGTATTACTAGATTCCTGGGAAAGATGAAGTTGAATTTACGGCATGGAAACGTCCAAGAACAGATTAAACAATATGACAGGCCAGGGCTGACTCTGGAGGTCCCGGAGACGCGCACATGTCCCCGCCTGCTGTGCGCAGGAAAAGGCCCTCCAAGGAGAGACGGGCTTATAAGGATACATGCAAATGGGGGTTAATAATCATTTCCGCTGATGAATAGGTGGGGAAAACTTCCACAAAATTAAATTAAGAGGCTAGCAAGAGTTACTCCCCAAGGAAGACGCTTAAATCACGGTTTTTATTAAATGGATTATTCATCAATCGCAGAGAAATTAATTATCACCTGCGACTAACACACAGCACTGGAGGAAAAAGTTGGGGCAACACCACCGCACCCTGGCGCGCACGGCCCCGCTTATCCGAAGCTGGCCTGGCAAAGGCCAGTGGCCTTCGCTTTACGCGTCTGGAAGGAAACGGGACCAGGAGACGCAAACTGCAGACAGGCCATTTCTCCACTCTGGCGGCGACAGGCTGCGCGCTGAAAGGAATACGGACGCTCCTCGGCTTACGATGCGCTTACGTTCCGCTAAACCCATCGTCAATTGAAAATATTCTAAGTCGAAAATGCGTTTAATCCGCCTAACCCACGGAGCCCCTGGCTCGGCCCGGCCTACCCTGGCTCAGAACACTTCCACGGGCCTCCCGTGGGCAGCATCGCCCAACACAGCCGGCTGAGTAACAGGGTGGTCAGTATCCTCTGTAGTGACTTTCCTACGAGGTCGCTTCCGCCACCGTAAGCTGGGGGCCTGGGGGACCGCCTGCACTATGAGTGCACGTAGAAGAGTGACAGGGGCTCTTCCCACCCCACCCCGTGTTCTCCCCATTGTTCCCTAAATCAGTTAAGAAGGGGTCCTGCCCACTATTTGTCTCCTGTGCCGGACTCGCTGTGAAGACATCAGAGAATGGAGCACCCCGGCCCTGTCTCCGAGCGCGATGGTAGAGCAGGCTCCGAACTCCAGGACACCTTCTTCTCTGGGGAGTTATTAATGGCGAGGGGGTCCCCCCAGGAAAACATACTTCAACTTAACACCTATTTTCTCGTGGGCTTAATTGCCGGGCCGGCATCCTCGGCACTCCATCCGCCGCACATTACACATAACATCCCAATATATCTTCAGCTCCGCGTCGGCCCTGATAATAGCGCCTGTTAACATGCGCTAAGTACTATTATGTAGCACATCACTTCATAAATAATAAGATTAGCTGACCTCAGGGCCCCAAGAAGAGTAATGTGTTTAAATGTTCTCATTATTTATTTAAAACAAGAATTAAAGCAACAGAAGCTGCTTCTGACAATCCTCTTAGCATAAATATTAAACTGTTTGCACTGATAAGCCCCGCACAGCACCCGAGAACAGAGGGTGTGTTCGGCAGGCTCCTTGGTAATCGGTGCTGGAGACGGTGCCGCTCGCTGCCCTGGTTCCGAGGGCGCCTCTCTGTAGGTCCAGAGACCGTCTCTGCATCACACACAAGCGATGGGGGAAATCAGCATTCAAGGGAAGCCGAGACTAATTACAGAGGAGCTCGGCAGGGCTGTTTAAACTGTGCTTTCTTCTCTGCCTGGGAACCAGAGTGACGCTCAATGCGCAAGGCAGGAGAAGTTATTCCAAATTGAGCATCCCGGCCTGGCAGCGGAGGAATGATCTGCACACACATTATCCTGGTTGGCAGATTAAAGGGCTGTGAGAAGTGTTCACCCACCTGGAATATCAGAGGTCTGCAAAAAGTCAATAGGGCCGCTTTCTCACCTGTCAGTGGGTTTCGCGCCCTCACATCGAGGAAGCGTTATCGAGATATTCCAACCTGCTGCACGGGCGTGCTCAGGCCGCGGTGCAGAGTCTCCAGCTCACCAGCTTTCCTTCCGGCTGAAGGTGCACCACGATTTTCTGCCATCGCTCTTCTCAGCGAAGGGCAGGCTGGTGTGGGAACTACCTCCGGTTCACGCAGGCCCCGGGGGTCAGGCAGAGCCCCTGCTGGGTTTCTGTGGGGCCTTAATTTAGATCTTTGGAGGCTGCTCTGAAGCTCTTCCTTTAACGCCCTGTGCTCCTTGCCAGTTTCCTAAGGCAGGGGTGGGGCCCAGCATTGGGCCTGGCGTTCGAGGCGATGTACGTACCTACGAGAAGGGACAGTCACCCCAACTCAAATGATCTCGTCTGATTCACCATCACCCCCGACTGTGGAATTGAAAAGGAAAGGGCTGAGAATTACGCGGAGGCACAGCCTCCTTTGGGTTTAACTTCTCTTGCTCAAATCACTCCTCTCTCCCTTCTGTCTCCATTTCCTATGCCAGGGAGGCCGGGAGATGGAGGCCCCATGGTTAAGGGCATGCTCTCTGGGCACCCGGAGCGCTGCCTCCTAGGTGCGTGGCCCCCAGGCAGCCGCTTCGGGTTGGTGTGCCGGTGACATGAAGTAAAGCTGGATTGTTTCTTGGCACGTGTACTAACAGACCCTGCGAAACAAAGGGGCCGCACGTTCTCTCAAGAAATGTTTCAGAAATGCCAGCTGGTGGGTATTTGTCATCTTGCGTCTGTTCCCACCTTTCCCGCAAACAGGACTCTAATTTTTCCGGGAGTCCAGCCTTCCACAGGCTCAGTGGTCTGAGTGGGGCGGGTCCCACCTCTACAGCCAGGGCATGGCCATGACCATCAAAGGGGATTAGTGCGCCCCACTCTCCCAGCCGCAGGGAGTGGTTCAGGGGAAGGTACATGACCCAGTCGGGGCAAGATGGAAGAGTGGAAACCAGAGGACTGGTGCGGAGCTGAGAGAGACTTGCTAATCCCCCGGCCTGCGGACTGTTAGAATTAAGATCTGGAGCTGCCATGGTCATTTTGATCTCATGCAACACGAGGCTGGGTCCCGGCAGAGACTGAGTGGCTGGATCAAGCCTCACCTGAAGCTACGTATGCTTAGGCTTTTCCAGGTTCATAAGCTGTTACTGTCCGAGTTAGGTTTCTCTGTCGCTTGCAACCCGGAGCCCTGGCGGACGTGCTGGCCATGCTTCTCTGCCCCCAGTGACTTCCTGCCCTGCCCGCCAAGTGGAAGCTGACGGTCCTCTCGCCAAACCCAAATGCTGACAGAGGGTAGTGTACGCAGAGATCGTCTGGGTAGAAAAGCATGAGACACTGGATTTTGCTTTTGGTTCAAATAATGTTGCTATTTGGGACAAATTTCCACCCAGGAAGCAAGAGAGTGCTGGCGTCACCCACACCGGCCTTTGCATGAAAATAAGCCGTCTGAATGACCAGGGCTGGATGACCTTTCTAAAGAGAGTTACATTTTTCCCAGTGTTCCCAAGGATAGCAGATCATCCCGAAGCTGGCCAAACAGCGAGAAAGTTACATTTCCCCCTTTCAACCTTGTCCTCTTGTCTCCCATCCTAAAGGAAAATCATTTTTAATGCTTTGGGTTTGCGAAAAAACTTGAATCTACTCAGGAAGCCCTGCTCCTTTTGTGAAGCCTTGCAGGGAGCGGAGGGAAACAGCACATACTTCATCCCTCTGCCTCCCAAACTCACATTCTTCCAACTCAAACAACTCTGTGAGCCTCTCCCAAACTCTTGCTGCTTAGGAATGGTTCTCCCTGAACAGTCTAGTGACATAGCGGGCACCGGCTGGTGGCCCATGAGCGGCCTGTCCAGACGGGACCCTCCCCCAGGTGTGACTCACGGGGCCGCCGCCCGCTGATTTCCCCCAGGGCCACACTCGCGTCCAGATGACCAGGACGGCGGCTACATTAGTGGACGCTGGTCGCCGTGCTGAAATTAACCACTTTAGCTAAAGTGTGTGTTAATTATGGGTATGCAAGCAGTCAATAAAAGGTTAATGCAGAAGTCAAAGGAGAAATTTCTTCCCTCATTGCATCACGTCACAGACTAAATGACTAACACCAGGCTCCATGTTTTTAATCAATAGGTTTTACAGTAATGTGCTGGCCATTGATTTTTAAGAAAACACGTACGGTCTTCCTTCTTGTCCCTAAATTTTGCCACAAATAAAGAAGGACAGGTAACACTTCCATTAGTCTTGATGAAGCAACGAAGAAAGGTTTCAGGAGAAGTGGTTCCTGCTGAAAGATTCATAGGGGTAAGCAAGCTTTTAAAAAAAAAGTACAAAAAAACTCGCCCTCGATGAGGAAATATTACCAAGTCCGGGCACCGAGGAGACAAGAAAAGTGAGCTCCTAAGAGAAGATTCTTTAATGGGGAAGAAGGGAGCAACTCTTGATGAAAATAACAATTCCGTTTTGTACACTGTTTAAACCCCGCAAAGAATCTTAAAGCACAGCCCTGAT